GCCAGCATTAGGTCCTCCTTGATACAACTGTTGCTGGAAGCCACCACGACTTTTAATACCTGTCGCTGTTTGAATGGTATTGGACTGGGAACCAGCCACGCGTTGACTATTGTTACGGCCCGCACCAGGAGCACGTAAATGTCCCGAACTGTCTGGTGGCGAAATACGATTTGCCGATTCCGAACGTGATGCTGCAACTGCCGCAAAATCTGACGTACATCATCTGATCAGAGCTACTATTTTTGGTTTTAACAAAATTTCACTGCATTTTTACCCCTTCCCTTTCCAGGACAATATGAGCGCTTCCAACATCTTCCAAAATATCACCCGAAAAAAACGATATTATGATTTTTTTTATGATTTATCAACGGTACTTTCGATAATGGACTGATGATTGCTAGCCTTTTTTTCTTGTCTGGATCATAACTAGCTTTTTTTGCCCGGATCATAATGTCTGCGGTATGCAGCTTCGGAAAAACAAAGAAAAGTAATATATAATTAGACTTCTGGCCTCCCCATGCATTTTTCCTTTGACTGCCTCCATCTTTCTCACCCTAATTTTTTTCTTCACACTTTTGCTCGGCCTATGTTTGCACCTACGGGATGAAACACAGTCTGATAACATCGTAAAATGTTCTCCGGCACATGATGCTTAAGACCAATCCTTCTATTCTACTATTTTTCGCTAGCTTATAGTGACATATCATACTCTTCTAAACTCTGTGTTCTACTTCCACAGTCCAACAGTTTAGTTAGGCACAAGGAAATAAAAGAATAGAAAGATTTCACTTGAATGTCATGTGTATGAAGACATCCTATGGCGCAGTCTGTGTTTCATCCCTTAGCTGTATACACAGAACGAACAAGGAAACTGAAGTGGCCTTAGATTCATGCGAGACACGCCTCGGCATATCTCCAACTCACGGCTGGATGTTTAACCTCTTTGCTGATTCAGTACAAAGCATGTACTCCATTCTTTCCAACTCAGAGCAACATTTTCGGCCGCTTCTGCCCTCTACACAATGGAATATGACAAGTTTTTTTTTTTTTTTTTTTTTTTTTTTTTTTAAA